AGTGTAGATTATCTGATCAGCGTTTGCGTGGAAATTGTAACCGGTGGTTAGAGACTGAATGACATGGACCAAAATCGTTTACAATGGCGCAGGCGCATCCATTCCTTGTTTTCGCCCACATTCTAATCTTCTGAATTCCTCATGACCTTTCTCTCTTTCTAACTTAATTTCACAGGATTATACTTCCTGAATAATATCTTCGACCTCTAATCTTTCCGATTATTGCTTATAGTGCTACTACTTCTACCATTATGGGATCTGAACTGATAATGCCATCTAAATACTGATTGAACTGAGAAAACTAAAAAATTTAGTAAAAAATACATGTATTTAAGAATGAAAGATATGTATATCCAAGTAGTAATCATTATGTGACATCATCAGATACTTCTAGTGTACCTGTAGAATTGATTGTTTGACTTGCAGCCACACCATCAGGGAAATGCTTTTCAACTAATTGTAAAATTTGATCAGCTTGACTGTTAGATAATCGAGAATCTAAATCGCTAATTATCTAAAACAGTAAAAAATCAATACAGATATCATCAAGAAATGTGCTAATTGCACAACCAACACCATTACACAATTTTACTTTCATATTAAAACGAAATGTTAAAATTTAAACATTTAGTGTCCTATGACGAAATATCTTTCAGAAATAGAAATAACTCAGAAATTTCCGAAAAAACATAGCTGAGAACTAGACTTTTGAAGCAAGTCTCTCTATAAGAAGCAGTTATATGTCAATCGGTTTACATCTTAAAATAAACATTTGGATTACTGAAACTACATGAAATATACACTGAAAATAGTCGATACGTTTATCCTGTGGACTACGTATCGTGTATAAGTGCCTCATATATTGATTGATACCATGTTTTGAAATTGGTTGAATAAGTCGGGTTCTACAAATAGTGTTGCTTTTTAGCCTAACTACATGAAACAACATAAAACATCTTTCGATGGTAGTCAGATATTTAATGCATCTGTCAGCAATTCCACGTAGAGGGCATTGTAAAATGATTGTGCTAGTGAAATACATACCTAAACTACTGAAGTCTACCACATGGCCGTTAAGAGTAGATGTTCGTAGGTTACTAGTATTCGATCATAGATATTTAAGAAGCATTGCTCATATATCGTGGGACAACCGAGTAAGCAATGCTGTCGTTAGGAAACGAGTACTAGGTAGGGATGGCAAATCAATAGATGAAGCATTGAAACTTCATTAGTTGAGGTGGTTGGGACATGTGTTACGAATGCCTAACCACCGACTGCCTCGACGAGCCTTGTTTTGTAGTGTAGGAGGAGTAGGTTGGAAGAAAGTTAGGGGCGGCCAAACTAAAACATGGCAGAAATCCATGAATTCACTGACAAGTGGACTGAGTCATGTTGGTAGATGTAGACTTCCTGGTTGGGGTCCGCGAGACGAAAGTCACCAATGGTTAGAGACCTTCAATGACATGGCTCAAAATCGTTTGCAATGGCGCAGGTGCATCCACTCTTTGAGCTCTCTCAAATCTTAATCTTTCGGATTCGTCAGCACCTCTACCTTTGTCTCACTGAATGAATAATATCTCCAAACACTAGTCTTCTTCATTACCATTAATAACTCTACTATCTCTATCACTATGGGATTTGATTGGACATTTGCGTCTCTGTACTAATGTGGTATGGCAACCTGAACTTATGTACATACGTACGAAGTTCTACGTTGCAACTGACTGAAGTCAACCTGTTTGTCTACAATATAGATTAAAGTCTTTCTACATAGAACTGTTGTTGTTTTGGATGGGAGCAAGCGGGTGTTACAATGGTGCGAACGATCATACACCTGAAAGCCGCTGATATTGAAAGGTTGTCGTCACAGAATAAATAGTTCATGCAACGCAACAGACTATTATTATACGACCCAACTATGACCCATCATAAATAGTTCAGACACGTAGATCTACTACTTTACACCAAAAGCTTACTAAAAAGTTAAGGACCAAGAAAAATCCAACAAAAAATGACATGAAAATTATGAGAAATAAAAGTGAGAAAGTAATAATGGATGTAAATCAAACAGATTTGATTTTCTCCTCAAAAGTACATACATCTTACTAATACTAAAAATCACAAAACACAACACTAGAATAACCACCAACGAACTAATCAAGTACGAGGAAAATTTGACATGCAATCTATGGAGAAAAAAATATGTAAAATGTGTTATCATCAGAGCCAATGCTTTAAGCCATCACTAACGGCAACTAGGATCTCTACTATAAGAACTAAAGTTACCTATGTTAACAGGATGTAGTGAGTGAATCATTTTATAACGATCATAGATGTCCAGTCACAATCAACGAGTATTCTTATATCATTTAGGTAAACATGTGGACAGTGGAATCGAAGTTTTAGTCCACTAAGTATTCGAGTAACAGTTGTTTATCAACTTAAGCCGAACTACTTATCATAGTTAGTCAGTTACAACGTAGAACTTCGTACGTAAGTACATCAGAGTTCAGGTTGCCATACCACACTAGCACGGAGACGTGATTGTCAATTCAAACCCCATGGTGGTGAAGATAGTAGATGTACTACTGGTAATAGAGAAGATTAGGGCTCCAAGATATTATTAAAGCTACTTATCACAACTTTTATATGATTGTAGTTTATAGCCAAGCAAACAACCACATGCGCTAAAAGAGGAATATTGTTTATCAGAAAAAATTAAACAAGGTCATCCCCAAAGAAATTAGATTTTTTGAAATGAAATTATGTTCCAAGTAATCAATTTTAAGCTTTACGGAATAAAATATGCAATGTGTCATGTGATTTTATAATACCAACAAGCAGCATTGGGCGGTAGTCACCAAAGGTTTTAAAACTATGTAGTTAATACGTAGAGCTTATAGTCATATTGATGCTACAACATCGAATTCGTATAGGTTATTTGGTCGCCCTAAAACTCAAGTATTACATACGAGTAGATAGCCCGTACCGATAAAAGATTCCCCGAATCACAAAGCTACCGGTTAAATTTCTTTTGTCACATTGAGGAACCAGAGATGACTTGATCACAGTCTTATATCACTTAATGATAAGTGTGCGTATGCCACCCTCATTTTCCTTGTCTTTTAAAATGAAGAATTAGATAACATTCACAAGCCCGAAGTATATTAACTGCCAGCTTACAAATGGATTTTCCATTGAATCGTCAACACATGATAGAAGCTTTGTATGTCGACGAGTTCAGAAGAAAGTTAAACCAACTAATGGACCACCATTGCCATGGCTAATACAGACTACTTGACCTTCTGTTTTGTCCAAATAGAAAACGAAAACCTTGGTCTTTAACAGTAATGACAAGAGGTCAATCAACCCACAATCGACAGTACAGTGAAGATTCCATATCGATTTGAATACACCAACAGGTGCTGATATCACGTGTTTCGGAAGAGGGTTGAAGTATTTCACTACTTGACGCAATAAACGGAACTCCAGATATAAGCGACTTGATCACGGTTTTCGAACTTTCTTAGAATGTTCTCCCAGATGATCAGCCCTTAACGATTACATGCGCTCGGAGCTGTCAGTTACAGGAATAACATCGAAAGTTATCCTGAATGCTTACTCAGACCATTAACTAAATCATCTCTAAATGGGCGCGAGAAGGCCTGAATGTCACTTAACGTATACATAACAACAGATGACACTAGGTCTTTGCGATGACGTACTTTCATCATGTGCGAATTAAGATTTCAGAAACAACAGAACTTACCACTGATAACTCCACTTGACTACTAGGACAATGGTTGATAAGCATTAGGATTTCAGATTTTGATAAATTAAATACTTTGACCTCTTCAGCAAATCCCTGTACTCCTGACTCCAGCTGTTTGCTACAAGGTGACTTGTTATTTAGATACTTTGCACTTGTATATAACAGTGTTTGTTGGCGCCTAACTTTCTTTTTAGATTCAAGTTTATCTTTGATAAGCTTTAGGACTTCGAGATTTGTTAGAAGTCTGGGATTCTGTGGATCAAGTAGTTCCATTCAATAACTTGACAGTTCAGAATAATACTTTAGATTAGTTTGACTCTAGGTTTCTTTTAACTATTACAGCTCCTGTCCAGAACACAAATCCCCAGGATATAGAAACAATGAGAAAACATATAAACCAAAACAATTTTCGCCGCGCGTGACGAGGGATTTGGTACATCCCGGGTGAAGGCCTGGCAACTGTCTGGGAAACTTAACATTCCTTTCAATGTCAAAGTGCTCAATTTGTCACAATATAAGCAAAAACGGAAAATGAATAGGAGTTTAGCTAAAATTCATTCTCGATAATTTTTAATTCAAGACTTCTAAGAGTAAAGTGAGTAATGGAAGCATGTAAATGGTCGATATTGACAGTGTATAACCATCTATTTCAAGGCTATCGTCTGAACAACATACTAATATCCCTATTATTTGTTCCTTAAGCAACACATTCAAGGTGAAATACTAGATATAGAAAAACTTACTGTTTTTGAGGTGACTGAATCTAACTTTTTTAGTAGATTATATTAAAGTCACACTCGGATCAGAGTAGTGAGTAGTGCTCTTTCTTCAGGTCGTTCATTCAGTTGTGTTAAGGTTTCGAAACAGGAGAGTGAGCAGCTTCTAGTGAGCCATTTTGTTGGCGTCAGTAGGTGATGAAGTAAAATTAATTAATTCAGAATGCTTGGATAAAGAGCATCTAACCCTTTATTCTAGATGTTCTAGGGGACTGTTCCACCAGAGGCCTGGGAAACTTACGAGCGTACTTCTATTTGATGACATTATTGGAAGGGAAATAGTCAGATGCAGCCAAGACAAGTTGTCTGGAAAAATGGGTTTTGAGCCATAAATCAAACTGAAGCTTTTCGTTAATGATCTGGGAGCAAGCATATAGCTGATTGCTGATTAGCCTTCACGGTTAAAAATGAATTACGCTTCAAGAGTAATCTTATATTTGGGAACATATACTGTTCAACAATGTACTATTGTGACTACTAAATTTGTTGCTCGCATGAATATTTGGCGGCAATATCGGTGCAATCGGGCCTACAATTCGTTTTTCCGAAGTTCTGCACGATATGCAGGATGACATACTACAGACACCTCCAAGATAAAAAAAATCACGCTACTAACTCTTCTATTTATTCAACAGTTTGAGCAGTTGATTATTCATCATCAATTAAAAAATCTCAGGGGATTGTTTTGCAGGGCAAACTTGACTGTTCAGAAAGGTGAAATTTATTTGCAGAAAGTAGAGCGCACTGAAACATTATTATCTGTTTCGGCTCAGGTAATGGGAGGAAATTTAACTAGTGGACTTCAAACAAACGTAATATTATAATCTATGTACCTCATAGTAGAATGAAAATCAAGATATGCAGATTGCAATATGGAACCATAAAATAAATCTTACTTTTCAACTGCGGAAGAAGATTAACTAGCAAATTTCATTCTCAATTAAAAATTCAACTACTTATCAGACATGAGCAAACTGTATTAGGTACTAAAATGTCGAGCAACGTGGCTTGACCCAGCTTTTGACAAAGTGATTCGTCTATTCCATTGCTGACTCACAGGTCCAGATCATACCGAATTCAGGACTTGGTTTCCATTTCTTCTCCTCTTTGAGGTTGCATAAAATTCTTCTACTTAACTAAATATTTCTCTTCAATTTTCACTCCGCTTCACTTGCCAGTTTTCGTTCAAACATCATTGTTTACCACTTAATCTTGATTGGCGAAGCATCCACTCAACCTGAAAAACTATCTCCAGGTTTGGGTTGCAAAAAGTCTATTGACAAAGATAATTTTGTGTGTTCCTTACTACGCATCATGAATCTAGTGGTTTCATGAGCGCTTTAGTGACTCACCATTGATTATATCTAGTTATCAACTGCCCCACCTCTTAATAAATATCTTTTCACCGCTACTTCCTAAATGATTAAAGTTTGTCTGAGAACCCCACATTTCCTAATAGCAATTTTCAGCACTGAAATAGTGCCTAAACCATGCCTGGCAGGCTTCTAAAGTAGTGTCTCATCGGGATGGGAAATATAGAACCCCTGGTAGGACAAAATATTATCTTGCAGTCACTTCAATGTAACACTATACAGCCTATCCGTATCTGTGAGACAGTCATCAGGTTCAAGGAGGTAGTAATGCTATTGTTAGACGTTAAATAGATCTGTCAACTATTTTCGGAACTAAAACAGAATCCTAAGGCACTCTTTCATGGCCCACCAAATATTTAGATTAACCTTAGGAACGAATAACATACCATAACTATATTGCACCCCCACTACCACTAATACAGGTATCATGAAACGATGGTTGAATTCCACTATTCCTACTAAAGCAGTGCATCATGCCTTTCAGGCGCTACCCGTAATATTCGGGTTTTTCTCAAAAATTAAATCCTTATCAATATCTTCTTATCTTTTGGAGCACTTTTCGTTTCTATTTGCAGTGGACAAATAAACTGAAAATGCTGCGGATGTTGCTAAAACACTGTCGACCACAAGGAACTCAAACTTCTGATATCATCGTGAGTTCCTTATTATTCACGTATCAACAGTTTAATAAGTTCTTATTTCCACAATTCATTAACAGATAAACGCCCTGCTTTCTTACCTATTTGTCGTCTTGCTCATGAACTTTTAACACTTTTACGTTATATTTATTCATCAACTGCCAATATTTCCTATCTCAAAACTACCTATTACGTGACCCATATCTTACAACTCATGCTATTAGTTAACTTAATATAAGTGTGGTATGCTATATGGATATTCAGTCCAAAATACAGAATCCAAAGTTGTCTGGTTTGCGTGTAACGTGGAAATAGTACAGGAAGTTTATTCCCGCGAGCTGTAAAAAATATGGAGCTTCAACTAAAAACATTATTAGAAATCTACCACTAAACGTAAGAGAGTCTAATATCAATAAAAAAGAGGGATGGTGTATCTGACCAGCATTCATGATGATGGAGTTATAACCTTAATCTATCCATGCCTGGGGGCAGAACATTTTGTTTGCTAACGGCTTCTTACGATATAGCAGGATATAACTAACCAATGATATTGACGTTACTTTTATGTGTGAACCACGTCTACAACTCATGTTTGTAACATTCCACTGGTTTCACTTCCTAACGAGAAATCCATTTACAAGTAGATTTGGACAGATATGGTAAAAAGTAGCTGACTAATAGCTTCTTGAGCCACAGTGTTGAAAAGCAATGAGTGAAACATCATCAAAGCATCAGATCACTATGCCTTCGTTATTATATTCTGTAACTCTAAATTGTTTCTAACAATATAATTCTTTTGAATTTCCTCCATTCATAAGATTATTTTCCCATTCGTTATCTTGTAGTGCCTCCACATATATTTCAGTTCGCTTACATCTAACTTGGTTAAGCCTTTTGACTAATTTATGTAACCAAGCTATTTGCATAGCAACAACTCATATGTATGGTTGGCATTTTTTACTATCTGGTTTGTATGAGCTTATACGACTGAGTATTGCTTACGCCTACGCGCTTACTCATCCTTTTCGCTTTAATGTTAATCTCTTAATATCCCTATTGACTCACATGATTTGTATCGCTTGCTTTTGACCTTGTCAATCATTCGTCGCTTTTATTCATTTGTGTGCATACCTATTTCGCTTGTCATATGTCTGTCTTATTTTTATCTGACTATATATTCTTAGTCATGTTCTATCTCTTTGAGTTGGCTCTTAGCCTTCTCCAATTCGCTTCGCCCATTCGCTCGCATTGTAACCCAAAGAGTTGGCTCTTAGCCTTCTCCAATTCGCTTCTCGGCTTCGCTTTGTGGTGTGCCTCGAATAAACGTATTCATCAATACGAGTTCATCTTCTGACTTATAAACTGAGCTTAAGAACACGCAATAAATCGGAACACTACAATCTTACTAATGACTTGGCTTCAATAACCTGCATAAATGCAGGTATATATTTAGTTTTCTAATGCGGAAGAAGGAAGATCTGAGCTTTCATACCTTTGTTTTATCTAAAATTATTATCTGTTGAGTTGTGACCCACCTCTGAACAAGAACCTTTTCTGTTCTGTCCTTCACCCCTCCATCGTTATTTCGATTTTTCATTACCTTATCATAGTCTTAAATATTACCCTGCAGAAGTGGCAAAGACTTAGTTATTTTACCTAAGAACATGTGCTTTTATTATCTGACGATCTGACCTGGATTTACCGTGTATTAGTTCGCAAGCAACAGTAGGTTGTCACAACGCAGCCGTCGTAACCCCCGCTACCTTTCGTATTGTGCACTGAATAGCCTGAGACATTATTATATAATCTTATGTGAAACATTTTAGCCATCTATAAGTAGTCAATGTATCTGGTGAAGTATTTACGTAACCGGACAACATTTTACAGAAAACATTTTGGTAATATTAACATCTTGATCTTTTCTGTAAATTTGCTTGTCTCCTGTATCATGTTGTTATTTGAAAATAAATTATCATTAGTTAATAACTTGCTTGGATTGTGAACAGATGATTTAAGACTGTGTGTGTAAATACCTACAGATACGCATACAAACTCTCTTCTATAAGTAGAATTCTATACGGCCTGGCCTTGACTTCGTTACTTAATGCACTAGGACACAGTAATGATTTGATGAAAATTTTTTGGGAAAGGATACATTTGTACACATAAACCGTTTCGTATACAGAAGCCAACAATCTGATATATTCATAAAAGTTTATTGAATTAGGTTAGCTCATCTTCTAGTATGTAGAAAAACTCTATTGGATTGACCTCTAACAAGTTAATCTTGATGGAATGTCAAAGAAAGTAATAATGAAGTTTTATAGCTTGTTGAAAGAAAATTTTCATTGTTACAAAAATAAATAAAAAATAAATAATAATTGTCTCGGTTTCACAATACTAAAGGAAACGACTACCAATTATATTCTTACCAATCACAGGAGAGACAAAAAATAGCTATCTTAAAATCCATGGATTTGATTGGTTAATTTTTTTCCCAGTATCGAGTTGTGCATAGAATCCATTATTTCGTTTATCAGAACTTTCCATATCTATAACTGTTCAATATTCAATGTCTCCTTCACTAGCTAGTATAAACCGACTCAATTCTCTGTGCTCGAATCTTGTTTTTTGGTACGTTTTTCATGTAATTGATAATGTTACTGTTAGAGTACG